GTGTTGTATCAGAAAAGCATGCTTTCGTTGAGCTTGCTCGTGAGCTGGCTTGAAAAGAAAAATCAGATAAATAAGCGCCAAATCTGTTGACGGCACAAAAACTTTAGGACTGCAGGCTTCTTTACAGTTTGAACATTTTACATGTCACTTTCCAAAGTTCACCCAGGAAGTGTTAAGCACATCGATAATGTTTCCAGCGCACGTGCCAGCGAGTATTTTTGAAAGTTTATCAACTGGCCTAGAAGTATTTGCTACTGAAACTTGGCCCAAAGCGCTGTTCCTCCCTTCCCTCTGAAATTGTGTGGCTGTGGAATTTTAAAAAGAGAGGGCAGCAGCGGGGGGAGGGGGGCGTAAGGGGGGAGGGAGGAACATACAAGATACATTTTATGAATTGCTCTTGGCCTGTGGCCAATACTTGCTTAGACTCTTTCTGTAGAGATTGCCAGGGTTTCTCAAGAAGTGTGGAAAGTGAGACCCTCAGAGAAGACCTTGTCTCTTTAGGAAGTCTCTCTACTTGCTAATGTGCTTGTGGCCATTGGTTGCCAAGGAAGTTTTCACCCCAAGAAGAGCACGATGTCCAAGCCCAAAACCTGTGTATTTCCATATGTCCCTGAAAGACCGTTCTGTCATTTCACCAAATTACACAGCCCAGTCAAGGGAGTATGGCATTCGAGGGCAGGCAAGAACCTTGGAGATGGGCCTTATAGACGCAAGGGCAGCATCTCCCAGACTATGAGCTGAGGACAGACTCCTGTGGCTTTAGTTTGGTTTGTGCTCCAGATGTGAAGCACTCCAGTCATTTGTAATAAGCAGATATGGGTTGCCTTGTAGGCTGGGGGTCCAGGCTTGAGAAGCTGCGTCTGATGAGAGCCTTCTTGCTGCCTCATCCTCTGAGCAAAGAAGAGGCAAGAGAACAGGAGGATGGACTGTCAGGCTTAAGCACGTTGGTAGTTAGCACTACCCCACCCGCCAGAGTTAAGCTGATGACCTCACCATCTCCATTAGTCCCCATCCCATCCCAACTATGCTGCACTTGGGATCGTTTCCCACACAGGGTTTTGAGAGGACACATGCCAGTTTTAGCACAAGGTAATGACAGCTTCCTCATCAGGACTTTCCAGCCCCTGAGAATCTGTCCTCAGGAACACCCTGCTGGCTTTGTTGAAGAGGGCCTTTTCCAACTGAAGGTCATTGGTCCATTTCTCTTTGGTATCCGGAATTGTTTTCCAAGAACCCCCACCCCAAGGGAAATTAGGATAAAAGCACTCAGTCATCCAGGATATGTGCTTGGCTCTCCCTAGTGGGCCCACCCTTGCATAGGCCTGCTGCGGTAGGTCTAGAAGAACAGGCATTGTGTTCCCAGCTCTGGGTCAGTCACTTGGTGTACACCATGGGAGCCAGGGCCCTGCAGCTTTCCCATAAGTGACCGTGACCATCATATTTGGAGCAATGGATGCTGCACCCTGAGCCAGGATAGGGACTAGGAGGCAGTGATTCCAGCTACAGCTCTGGCCCAGGACATCTCATGGCCATGCCAGACTTCAGCCACTCTGCATAGAAGATCCCCAGGCAGGTTGCTTATGGAAGAAGTCCTCTATCCATTCCTTCTCACCCTATCTTGTATGTCACTTCCCACCTGAAGCATATGGCCTCATGTTTCCTTTTTTAATGCCTCCTCTTTGCCGCCACCACCCCCATCTTTCCCATTGTACATGCTACAGACCAAAGTGACTATAGACTTTCTGTTGCCAAAGAACCTCTGGTAGCCTTTTTTATTTTTAAATTTTTATTAGCTAACATTATTTACTAGAGCTGGGGCGTAGTTCAGGGGGAGAGTGTTTGGCTGACATGCTCAAGGTTGTGGGCTTGAGCCCCAGCACTGTAAAAATACATAAATCAGTTTATTAAATAGTTAGCTAAATGTAGAAAATAGCTTCTGTTTTAATTAAAAATAACTAAATGACTGTACTGTGTTGTTCTTAAAATTTAAGAAAAAGTGTGTTCTTTGTTTAAAAAAAGGAAAAATAGAGAAGTTATGGTTTCTTTTACCAGAAAGAAAAATGTTCATCTTTGATATCAGTGAATTACTTTAAAATGAGGTTTAAAACAAATACCTTTGGCCAGGTCATAATACGGTTGCCCTTGTTCCTTCCTTGAGTTTTGCAATAAGCACTCACTGTTGTTACCTTCTGCAAAACCACTGCCTGGGCTTTTGTTTGTGTAGACGTAGGCAACTGCCAGGAGGCTGCCAGCTGACTCCACAGCACAAGAGCTGGCTTCATAGAGGCCTAGAACCACAGTCAACATCCCCTTTACAGAGAGACTCCTGTGTCCAGAGAGCAGATACATTAAAAAGGCATAAAATTCGACACCCACACAGAGGCCTGTTTTAATTAAATTCTGAAGTTTTTGTGAATGGTCCATTTAGAATATTCTTCCGTCCTCTCCTGTGCCAACACAGAGCCCTTCCTTCTTGGATAATTCCTGATTTCAAGTGTCTGTTTTTCAGACACCAACCCCTCTTTCCTCCCTCCCTCCCTCTCTCCCTTTTTTCTTCTTTTCCCTTTCTCTTCTTCCTTTCTTGCTCCCTCCCTTTCTGCACCTTCTCCCATTCTCTTCTCATTCCCTCCTCTTCTTTCTTTCCCTTTAAAGTTTCTCCACACAAACATACTTAGCTTGACTTTCTTCAGCTCCTCATCTGATGCCCCTTTTCAAAGTTCAACCTAAAGGAGGAACGGACGCCCCTCACCCTGCAGTCAGGGTCCTAAAGTGGAGCCATGGGGGCTTGCTTGGAAAAGAAACTTACAGTTTGATGTTTTCTTTTGCATGTGCTGCTTGCTCTTGCAGCAAGCGTTTTTCTGTTGCTGCAGAACAGTGACTAAGCTGGCTACTACTGGTCCCTCTGAGAATAGGAACAGTGGGGCTGGAGAGAGAACCTAGGTGTTTGCAAGGCATCCAGGGTTGGTTCTCAGCACCCATGTGACAGCTCACAATCACCTGTAACTCCAGTTTTTGGGGACCCAATGCCCCCTTCTGATCTCTGCAGGCCCCTGCGTGCATTTGGTGCACATACATATACTCAGGTATACACACACACACATGAACAAAATACAGTTTAAAATATATATTAAAAATAGAGGCAAAGCTTAGCAGCCTTTCCCAGGAAAACACACACACATACAGCAAACCCTGTACCCATCTCAGGTTCCCAGCCCTTCTGATCTAACAGCCACAGTTCTCCCAAGTTACACTCCTCAGTGGAGGCTGAACACACCTTGAGGGACATCAAATAAGGCAAGAGCTAGGATGGGCAGCATTCCTGTCCTTGTATTCATTAGAAGAGATTAGTTTTCAAAATTAGTGTGGTGACCTGAATCCTTTTGTATTTTGAATATGGCAGTTCAGAGACCCCTATCACCCAAAAGAAAGCTGATTGTGTTGACAGTGGAAGCAATCGGAGGTACTTCTACCCTGCCCACCATTCCATGGGGAGGGGGGAGGGGAGGGGAATTTGGGCTGAAGCTGATTGGCTCTTAGTGAAAAGCTGCCTTAGTGACCTGAATGTAAGTTCTGAGCCACCATTCACTGCTCATTTTCTACAAACCTCAGTGGAGAAGTTACTTGGCAAAACTTTCCATTGTGGAAGTTTCATCTGAGGAGAGAAAACACAAAGCCATCCTTGAGTTTTAGTGGTTTCATTTAGCTCCATAAATCCATGAAGAGTATTTGAGTTTTTCCTTGGCACAGTAGGAAAAAAGAGTTCCCTTGTTGTCTGTGGTGCTGGAAGGAGTTGCTTCTGTGCAGAGGTCTGTTGGGAGTGCTTTCCCAGTGCGCAGGGTTCTGTGCTGTGGTCTGTAGCCACTTAGAAAGTCATTTCCCTGCCAGGTGTGAACTCCAGACAGACTGGTGTGACATCGAAGTAGAGCTTTTTATGAACCGGTAGTTCAGAGGAAACTGGGTGGGGTTCTTTCACTATATGGACTAACTCCCACCAGGATGGTGATGTCTGCCTCCGCTCCTGACTAAGCTTCTAATCACTGCCCTTTCCCTCTGTAGGTAACAATAACTTGACTCCAGACTTTCACACTTAGATACGGGCATCCCCCAGCTTCCAAGCCAGCATAGCGACATCCCTGATTCCACTTCTATCTCTAGAAACTGTGTGTCTGGTGGTGGGTGGGTGTCTCTATGGAATTGTGTAGACTGGGGCTGAATGTGGGAAAGCATATGGTTTGCTTTTGAGAGCACATTTAGGAAATAACTGCACTGCGTTCTGATAATATTGAGCCATTTACTTTGGTAGGTAATTGAGGCCTGCCCCGGTCAGGTAATAATCTAGCTTAGAGAGCGATAACAAGTTACTGTTAGATTTAATTTGTCCCCTGACCCGTCCTGTGAATATCAATGCTAACAACAGTGTCTTATTTTTTTTCCTCCTTGTGTTTCTTTTCTTTTTTTCTTTAAATCAATATGCTTTTTTTTTCCTTTGTGAATAATTATATGTCTAGAAACAGCCATGGAGTGATTTTGCTGTTCTGAATGGGGGAAAGATTAATAGTGACATTTGGAAGGCAAGTATATTGTCAGATTTTAGAACATTTAATATTTTTTTGTTCCTTTCTGCATGGCTGTGGCTCTTTATTTTTCTTCTTTGTGAATATCATGCATTCTGCAGGGACGGATCGATGGGGCTTCTTGCCAGGGGTGTGCCGCTCACACTCATATTGTCTTTTTTTTTTTTTTTTTTTTTGATGTCTCCCATTGTGAATGACTTCAAGCTGGTGTGCCCAGATCCCCTGTTGTCTTGTAAGAGCTGGAGCTTGTGAGCCACATCAGCATACAGCAGTCCTTGCATGCCATTTTCTGCCTAAGCTCACACCCACTCTCTGCCTCTTGCTGGGGGCTCGCTCTCTTCTTTGGTATTTGAGGCAGGGTGATGGACCCTTCCATCCTCCCTTAACAGGATCTTTTTCCCTCTAGGATTTGCACGCAGCCACAGTTAACCCAGACCCCAGTTTAAAAGAGTTTGAAGGAGCAACACTACGCTATGCGTCCTTGAAACTCAGGTAGGACGTGGGAGGGTTTGCCAAGAGGGGTGGTTTCTGCGTCAGTCTTCGCAGCAGAACTCTAAGATCAATTTTTATGTTTTCTTTCTAGAAACGCCCCTCATGCTGATGATGATGATTCTTGTAGTGTCAACAGTGACCCAGAAGCCAAGGTTTGTAAGAAAGATTCTTTTAGCAACTAGCTTGTATTCTCACATCAGAGTAATGGCTTTGAATAACGCCACCACCATCCCCCGAGCCAAATATAAGTCATTATCCTTTCATTGTCTCTATTTCTTAGTCTCTGTGACATTTTAAGAAAATCCCTGTTCCGGTTTAGGTTTGTGGTATTTCTGTAATCACCACTGTGTGAACTCTCCCCATGTTGTGCAGTGACAGGAGTGGCAGCCCTCAGTCAACACAATGATGGAAAAGAGGAAACAACCAAAATGTGTCAGTAGATTGTGTGGGGTTCTGTGGGTTAAGTGGCTGGGATGCATGCTCAGGTCACATGGTTATCAGTGCATAAGCACCGAGTCGAGGAGCACCTATGGTTCATTGAAGATTATTAGGGGTGATGGGGCACATCCTGAAGAGGACGAAATTAGCAACCTGAAAGGACAGCTTCAGACTTAAACCTGCTTCAAGTTACTCCTGTCCCACTCTCGGTCCAGAAGGCACCCATGATGCAGAAACTCACTATGAGGGGAAAGGGACTTCCGGCTTCAGTACCTTTATAGTAATCACAGTGTACATTGGCCTTCCAGTTTCTTATAGCCTGTAACGATTTTCTTGCACTTTGTTGTACAATCAGTGCAACTCAAGGTTGTCCTCTGGCCTACATATGTGTTCTTATACACACATACACACACACACACACACACACACACACACACACACAGACAACACTACAAAAAATATTTAATTCCATGTTCTATAGAATTCTAAATATATAGTCTATGAGGAGAGATCCAAAAGATCTCTATGAAAATGTCTCCCTAGGCTGGAGAGGTGGTTAAGAGAGCCTGGGTTTGGTTTCCAACAGCTAACAACCACCTATAACTTAGCTGTCAGGGACCCAATGCCCTCTTTTGCACTCCATGGATACACTAAGCAAGAAGCATATACTCTCTCATGCAAATAAACTTAATTTTTTAATAAAATGTCTTCATATATATATATATATGTATACATATACATATATATATATATATGTATATATATATCATATAAAGTTACATGCTAGGAAGATAAGAGTAGTTGCCAGACCAGTTGTCTGGTGAACCCTGTAAACAGAAATGACAGCATACCTACAAGCACACATGGCCACACATGTGCAGTCCCCAAAGGGGCAGAGTATATTTATAACTCTGAAAATGTCTTTGAGCCTTCTTAATGTTCTGACATTAAATATGTTTTGTAATTGGTGGTCATCTGTATGTGAGCTTGCATGTAATTCTTAAGCCTAATTTTATTTTGAAATAATTATGGACTCACTGAAAAGTTCTCAAGCTTGAGTCCCCATATGCCCTTCACCCTGTTTTCCCTAATATTAACATCTTCATAATCGTAGAGCCATTAGGCAGTCAATCGCTCACCAGTACCCTGGCATCTAATGATTCTATGTGCAAATAAGGAGCGCTTCGGAAGTTATCGCACATATCCCTTTCGGCAGTTCTCTGGTTCGTCCTCCTTAATTTCATTATTGTTAGCCATTATTGCTCTTTAATTAGTAGCACTGACCCCCGCCACCCCCGTTTAGGCAGTGGCACCATTGGTGCAGTTCAAACACTACAGAGCCTAACTACGGCTTCCTAAAAATGGGCGACGGTTTTCTCTTTCAATTACTGCTTTGCTAGAGGTTGCTGAAACTGATATTGCCAGGTCAAAGGCTATCAGTCTTATAGCTTCTGTCACTTCCTGTAAAATTGCTTTCAGAAAGCCTACAGTAATATTCAGTCCTATCAGTAATACAGCAGATTCCCCACACACCCACATGCCCGGTCACCCGAGGCTTTGCCGTTCTTTATTTGCCTCAGTTTTATTGCATATGATCTGTTACTTTCTAGTATTAGATTTCTCCTTTCCCTTCACCTCCCTGCCTCCCTCCCTCCCTCCTTCCCTTCCTATATTAAAGATTCACCCATAGTTGTAGGCATGCCAGAGAGAGCCATGGCCAGTCTTAAAAGTCCCTTGTTAAATGATCAGCAAGTAGGGCATTTCTTATGGAGTAATTGAAAGCTCTTAAGTAAACATCCCATTCTGATTTGGTAGGTTTTCTTCTACTGTCCCCTCTTGGCTCAGGGTATAGTCCACAAAGCCACTTGCATTTAGTCCCTAAAGGTTTTACAAAACTTGCCTGCTATGATAGTCTTCAATGCTTCTCTCCAATTATTTCTTTTTCTCTTCACTGACTTTTATCAGAAAAGAAAACATTTTCAATACCCCTGCACATCCAGGCCTTTCACAGATAATCACAACATGACCACTCCTCACTGTAAGTGGCCAGGTAGGAAGCCACAACCGAGACCCCATTATTTGCAGCTTCCCTGTGCTCATCCCCTGTTTAGTCCTTCTGCTGTGACACACATGTGTTGCTGACCAAATGCATGATTAACGATAAAAGAAAATCAAATTGAAGAAAAGTTCATGCTTAAAAATAAATAATACACCAGTTCCTTCCTCTCCTTTGTTGTGACTGTTCAGGTTTCTGTAAAGGAGATTTTGTGCCACCTGGTGGAAAGTATTGAGGACTACACCTTCAAAGAAAAGGGCTATGTTTCCCTTGGAATCATTGAATTGTATAGAATTGGAAGTGGTTTTAAAGATTAAAAAAAAAAAAAAAAATTCTGGGGTTCCACAATTAGTGTCAGAAACACCATTGAACATGGGTCTCCTGGGCCTCTGGATGCCCAGTGCCACTATCTTTATTGTGACAAATTACTTTTTGTGACATTTGCACGAAAAGGCTTTGAGGACATTACTCTTTGAACTCACAGTAAAGGAAATGAATAAGCGAGATGATGTTGTCCCAAGCACAGATCCTCTGGGTTTCAAATTCCTCATCTGTAAAATGATCATGCCTCCTAGTAGAAGTCCCTCCTGGTTCTGAGACGTCATAGGATTGCGTATGAAATATAGCAGCCCTAAGCTACAGCATTTAGAGACGGATTGGTCATGTCTGTCTGAGTCTACAGAAGGAAGGGTCAGTTCTGGCTGTCCTTTCACAGGTCCTATGACCTGCTCATGAACTTGTCCTGTGAATGCAAGGGTTCCTGGCATTGTAGATAGAAAGAGATGCTTTGAACAGGTTTAATAATCCATTTCATCAGTATGCTCACCTGGTAGCTAGTGGAAATGAGACTTGAACATATGACTCCCAAGCCCAAGCAAGTGTCTGGGCCACATGTTCCAAATTACTGTTTCCCCAGGTTTAAGGTCACTTTGGCTGTCTGGCTAGGTGGGGTTGAGGTAACCGAGTTGCTAGAGGTGGACATGAGTTGTGACACTGGACGGTCATTGCCTAAGGATGAACTTCTCACTCCCTTCCAGACTACTGTGGCCCATTGCTTTGTAGCATATCGTCCTTGGCAAAGTTTGGTATGATTGTCCTGGTGCAAAGGATCACACTCCTGAGCCCAGGAGCCACATGGATGTGGCAGGCCTATGGAGAAGACCACACAGGTGACACTGTCAAGTTTGAAATTTGGACAGAATAAGCCATGGTTTTGGTGCGTCTTCTCCAGCATGGTTTTTTCCCTGCAGTACCTTCCAGGGCTATGGCTGTTTGCAGTTAGTGATTGGTTACTCAGGCGTTTTATTATCCAGGCACTGAATCTGCTGAAAGCTTTGCTTGTGTGCTACCCTTGCTACACCCTGCCCCACACGGAGAAAGAAAGAACTGAGCAATGCCAGTCAGGGCTAGGTACACTTGACAGAGGAACTCTCAAACAAATGGGATATGAGCACCGGGTTCTAATATTTCTCTTGAGATTTATTTATCTGAGTCTTCCCTTGGTTCCTATTAGCATATATTTCCATGAAGTAATTATATTAGCCAGCAACTGACTAGATTAACCCTAATAGATAAACAGGAAATCACAGGGAGTGTTGGCTCTCATTCAGATTTGTTTCTGGTCTGTAACAAATTCATTATCATTGCTGAGCATTTCTGTGGGATTTTATAGCTGTGTGTTAAGTCCATGCCATTGAAAAATATTCCTGTGGTTTAGATCTAGTTTTCTCCAGAAATTCTGCACTATGAGAGATGCTTGGATTTGATTTGCATGGATGATTCATTAACTAGGTGAAAACATTTGTCAAATGCTTGATTCCAGAAAGCCAAACGAAGTTAGTATTCAGTGTAATGGCTAAGACGTGGGCTCTGGACCTGGACTGCCTTAGGTTCAAGATCAAGATCTGCTGTTTATTACCTGGGCGACTTTGGGATCTCATCCTCTGCATTGCATAATAAACTGTTACAAAACTTGGTAGCTGGAAACAATATTATTTTTGCTCCTGACTGTGAGTTTCGGGAATTTGTGCAAAATTTAGCAACACAGCAGTGCACTTCCTACCTGATCCCCTAGCAGGCAGCAGGACCTGGAAGATGTACTTCAAGTGCGTCCCTTCACAGGACACATCCTCCAGGGCCGCTCCATGTTGCTTGGACATTTAACAGTAGAGGTCACCGGGTAGGAAGAAACAGGAATCTAAGGCTACCAGTGAGAGAAGGCTTTCCTTGGAAATGGTGCCATCATATTTGTTAGTCAAAATAAAATTCCGATTCAAGAGGTAGAGAAATGGACATTTGATGTGAGAGCGGCAGGGCCACAGGAAGAATATTCTGGGAAGCTTTATTGTGCCAACTCTGAGAGAGAAAAAACAATCCCCAGGCACCAGCATTCAGAAAGAATGCCCTTTGTGAAGGGCGTTGCATATCTACATGACTCAGTCAAGAATCCAGGCCCCAGAGCCACTAACAAATGTACTCCATACTTGCCAAGTGAGATGTACCTGCTGGGACATGGCTTCAAGGTGGGCAATCATGGAGGAAACAGTAAGATCTATTCCTTGTCTTAGCCCCAGGAAGGAAGAGCCCAGTGTCTGCTCGGGCTTAGCTGGCCACAGAATAGCAAGGCATGAAGCTGGACTGCCCAGCCAAGCCCAGCAT